GTTTTTGGGGGGGGGGGTGGAAATTTATTTTAAGTCCCGATAGGAGCAATGTAAATTTTCTGACATTCAAACCTTTTCTAGTTCACAAATCAGTCACCCTTGTCACAGTTATTGAAATTCCTCAACTTGCCACACCAGGACGGTGGAAAAAGCAGGCGGTGTCTTTGTTGCTGACCAGGCTTTTGATCGCCAGAGAAAATTTACTTACCTTCAGATGAGTGAGCAGAAAAAGAAATAACACTCCCTTTGATTTAGTTAGAAAAATGCAGACATTTGGATTCAGTGCAAACATACAACACTTGGTTGTTTTCTAGATGCAACCCTCGATTAACCTGTCTTTCCCCAGCTCAAAGTCTATTGAAAAACTGTGGATAGTTCTTTTTTGTTCCCTCTACAAAGCGCCATTGACTATATATTAAAATGATTGTTGAAATGTGTAAGTATGGTATTTAAAAGCAGAAAACCTTAGTGGCTTAATCAATTAAGCTAAGAAACATTTGCACAATATTTTAAAAGATGGTTCGACTCCTAAAAAAAATATCTCAAGAAACTTTAAAATATAAACGTCTTTTTGTGTGTATGTATAGATACACTTACGTATGTGCCCATGTGCGTGCATATATAAAACTGGCAAATTATTTATTTACTCGGTCGCCTGCATATTCATTAGCTCTAATTATTTTCTAGTAACGAAAACACCAAAAGCTCGCTAAGAGTCAGATCCCATACATTTCGCCTTTGTTCAGCCCTTCACTTGCCTCCTTCGCAGCTCAGTCCGAGCCCCTCCAATTCCTAGTTCCAAACAAAGAAACTTTAAACTCATCCTCTCTAATTATAGCCGCTGGTAAGCAATCCGCAGCGCAGGTACTGGGGAGTCGGACCGGCAGCGCTGCTGCAAGAGCCTTTCGCGAGTGAGAACTGCCTCATTTTGAGAGGTATAAAATGGCCATTGCGGCTAGAAAACAAACAAACAAACATCAACGCAATAAATAAACTTTGATATGCCTTGACGGAATGTTTCACTGCAGTTTATCTGCAGACGCAGTGTGCCTGTGCTCGGTGCACTGAGATAGCTTTCAAAGCAGATCTATTATGTAATTTTCCTTGGATCTCGGGAGGCTTTACAGGGTTTGGTGGGTTTTTGGTTTTGTGGTTTTTTTTGGTTTGTTTGGGGTTTGGGTTTTTTTGGTTTGGTTTTTTTTTTTTTTTTTTTTTTGAATAATGGTGAGCTGAATCTACACGTTTGCATTTATTCTACGAAATCTATTTCATGGAATTGCAATAGCTCAGAGCAACAGGTATACCCGCTCTAGGGAGCGCCTGGGTGTGGACATAGTCTTAGGCGGGTGTTGCACTACTTTCTGTATTTGGTGCTAAAATTAAGCGAAGGACACAGCCTTACTGTGAAGTGTGCCGGGCGATGGCATTCGGAGAGCTAAAAAGTTGGGTAGTTCAGTGCTAGCCTGCCTCCCAGTGCAAGGGGAAATCAGTGATCATTCCAGGTCGGTGCAAAATGTACGAGAAGGCAGACGAGAAGGTATTTTTAGGAAGCGTATCTAAATATACAGTGTAAGAGTGAATGTAAAAAAAAAAAAATGTTGTGGGTTGTAGAAGTTATCAAGTGGGATTTGCGGTGCGCTCTCTGCAGGAAACGAAAGCTGCTCCAGTTCAAAGCCACATGCACCAACGTGACATATAAGCCATTAAAATATCATCCTGACGGCTCATTTCTGCTTCATCATACATTCCCTAACTGCTTCCAGAAAGCAAGAAAAGAAGAAATGAAGGATGACCGCCTCGATGCAAGCGCCAAAGAGGTGGTGGGTTCTTAGGGGGGGGTTATTGTTTTCTTCTTTCATTCTTTCTTTCTTTTCCTTTCCCCTCCACCCCCACTTTTATTTTTGCCAGTTCAGAAATGAGGGGAAACCTTCAACAGGTCGCAGGGGTAAGTGCCTGGGTATAGAGGGTGCCTGTACAGTCCGGGCAGTTGGCTAGCCCCCCCACGCCTGCCACAAGGGCTGGACGTGAGCTCCCTGTCGTCGGGGGGGGGTCGTCGGGAGGAGGCTTGGCCACCCCGGGAAGAAGGGCTGGAACCTTGCGGTGCGGGGGGGCAGCGCCTCGGCTGCCCCTCGCCCACGTGGGGCAGGGTCCCGGCGGCACATCGGCAGGCGGGGGAGGGCGGAGGGCCGAGAGCCCGGGAAGCACCGAAGCGGGGGTCCGACACCTTCTGTCGGACACCAGGAGCCGCGCCCGCCCCCCTAAATGCAAAGGGAGGCTCGGCCTGGAGGTCCGCGCAGGGCAGAGCGGCGGAGGTCCGCGGAACAGGGCAGCGGGGTGCGCAGAGCGGGCGGAGGCGCTCCCCACCCCGACTGCGGCCGGGCTGGCTTCGGACGGGCAAGCACCGGGACCGGAAGGGTCCTGCGGCCGCCCAGGCAGGGCCGGGAACGGGGCGGCGTGCGGAGGGGGACGAGCGCTGACAATGGCGAGCCCCGTGGGGAGGCGTCCCGGGGGACGCGCTCCCCGCCCAGAACCTCGCCCACCGCCGCGCCCGGTGCCACGGGGGCGCTCCGGGGGACCCGGCGCCCCGGCAGCGCAAGCCCTGCTTTATAGGCGGGTGCGGGAGGGACGGAGCCCGGGAGCTCGGCCGGCCCCCTCCGGCCTCTCCCCGCCCCCCCGCAGGCAGAGCCGGGGGCGCTGCTCAGGAGCTGGGTGCTGCCGCCTGCTTCGCGCAGAGCCCGGGGAGGGGCTGCGACCCTGCTCCCGGCCCCGAGGGGCCGTCCCGTGTCTAAACCGGCAGGGGAAGGGAGAAAGCTCCCAAATCCCTGCCCAGGGCGATACATCTGAAGGTGACCTCTGACCCGAGCCCAACTCAGTGTGCCAGCCCCGGGCACCGGCACAGCGCCGACCGATGGGGACTGGCGTGGACTTCTCGCCGACCCCTTTCCTGTCACTCCTTTGTCACGCGCGATCCCCCAGCTCCGGGGAGTCCAGCCCGTTGGTCGGGCTTCTCTCGGGGCTCTCTCCACCCGGAGACGAGAAACTTTATTTCTGCACCGAGCCCTTCCCGGGGAACGCTCCCTCCGCCCTGTGCGGCCGCGGAAAGTACAGGTTTCGTGACGAGCCGATGGCAGCGGGGCACACGCCGTCGCTGCTGCCGCCCACTCGGTCTGGCTCGCAACCCGCCCGGGGCCGCCGGGGTCCCGCGGGGCGGCGGCTGCTCCGGCCCCGCTCAGCCCGCGCACCTTCCACCCGGTCCGGAGCCAGCGTTTAGGGAAGTGGGGCGGGGCGGGTCCCTTGGCAGCCCCAGCGCGACACCGGGGGTGGAACTGGTACCCCACGCTAGCGCCCGACATCCCAACAAGGGGACAAGGGGACATCCTCACCCTCCTGCTCCGCCGACGGCTCAGCGCAGATGAGAAAAGCGTGCGAGGTCGAGCCAGAATTTTAGCCAATATTTACTCTGAAATGCAGAACTGTTTTGCCTTCCTTTTTGTCATCTGGTAACCATTTGAAATATTAAATGCAGCGATTTCTTTTTTTGTCCAGTTTCAACAAGTTTTGGCGAACACTTGGGAACTGAGCACTCCTCCAGCCTCCCACCGTAACCAATAAAGCACAACTCCTGCAAACCTCTCACTAGCGAGGCAATGTTGGCCGTTCTGACTTGAGAGAAGTGCAAGGATGAATGGAAGCTGACTAGGAATTTTAATTCCTAAGGGATTGCTAAAGTTTTGGCAGTAATTTTCATCAGAGCAGTGAAAATATTGAGGACATCAAATTATTTATAAAAGATTATTACTGTGATACGATGATGAACTTTCATAATATATATCATCAAATATTTGTCTTAGTACAGATTTTTGTTTTCTAGTTCTGGACTGCCTATAATGATAGTAGAAAGAGTAATAATAATAATATTAATAATAATAACGTCATGTTAAGTAACTGATTCCAGATTCTAGTGTGCTTTTCTGTATTAAAAAGCAAACAAACAAAATTCTGAGACTTTCAAAGATATCTGCAAAAATTCAGACTCAGACACTGCATCCAGCCCCAGATCTGCTCT